TAATGGTAATAATATATAATGATATTGTTAATACCCATTTCCGAAGTGGAGGCGACCTCTACGGGCTCACTTTATTTTGTCGATAAACCAATGACCGATAAATCAATATTAAACACAAAAATTGCAAGCGAACATCTTCGACTAACGTATATGAATCATCACTCACTGATTTCAATACAGTTCTTTAAATATTTGACAGACACATTACCCTCCTTTGCGTCGCGTAGTCGGGTAAAAACTACACACACTACCATGCGTTGAAACTTTAGTTTTAATCTCTAAATGTGTCGTAACCTTTGATAATAAACCTTTATAGGCGACAAATAGTTAATATAAGTAAATAAAAACTGGCCAAGTGAGAGTCGGATCCGCGCACAAAGGGTTCCGTACCATTATCCATTAAAAAAGCTAAAAAAAACCACGTTCGTTGTTTTCTATGGAGTTGTTCGCAATTTTAGAGTTAAATACAATTGGTCGACTATTATACGTAAACTTGTAAAGCTTAACTTAAGTGTGATAGTTCTCCATTTAACTTCGTTATATATAGGTACTGCTGTCGTTACGTTGTAATTTTTACCAACGACCGTTAAGTTGGCAGAGAGAGTGACACTTGACTCTAACGCAAGGTTATTAAATCACAAAAAACAAACGGCCTTCCTACGTTCTCTATATTTTTGAAAGACCTATCCAACGATGCTCCACACTATGGAGAAGACGAAGATTACATTTAGGAGATATACCGTAATTTTTTTTTTAGAAATTTTATTTTACCTCTTTGTCGGCATAATTAACGTGTATACTCATGCCAAATTACAACTTTCTCAAACCAATAGTTTTTGAGCTACACCACGGATGGACGGACGGACAGACGGACATGGCGAAATTATAAGGGTTCCTTGTTTACTACATAACCAAAAAACCTAGTGACAGTAGAACAAAAATCTAAACAGGTTGACTACGAAATCTTACACAGCGCATGGCCCAATCTTAAAAAGGGTCCAACACGCACTTGGTCGGTTTTTATTTTAAGAGAACGAAACAAAGAATTGCTACATAACTGTTTCCAGTTCAATGCCGTCCATAATAAGCAGGATTTCTATATTTATTTCGTGTATAGGTTAAACTCCGTAAATTTTTGCAAATTTCGTAAGTTATACTCGTTTTACGTCACGACTTTTAAAACTTGCCGAAAGCGGCTATTTGACAGAGTTATAATGAGTGAAAATAATATTGTATATTGAAAACAGCAATGTTAAAAATCAATCGATGGATAAAAAAAGTCAATATTATTAACATTACAATTTACAGGTGAAAACTTCAAAAACTACTACTAATTTAAATTACTTACATAAAAAGCGGTCTTGTCGCTTATTTTTTACATGCATCCTGAGTATGGAGAAACAGTTAGCAAGAATATACGAATCTTGTTAATTGTTTCTCCATGCCCAAGATGCCTGGAAGATATTTTACACTCTTCAATATTCAGCATCTGCAGACGCAACAGTTAGCCCTAAGACTGTTCGTACTTTCCCGCCCATCGTGTTTGCGGTTGCCCGACCTCCCATTCGTATACCAGATGTCGATCGAATGTTGATTCATTTAATATTTACTTTAAAACTGAACTAATTACAATAATAACCTCCACTTTTAACGACTGCCTACTGCTAAATATATGTATATGGTAAGTATAATTTCAGCTGCAGTAGGTATATAGCCATATGTTTTATTTTTGAACTAATATTGTATAAACGAGTATGTTCGTTTCCAAAATAAATTGTGTAAAACTTGACGAGATACATCATCCATACACACTTTAAGTTTTTACGAAAACATTCAATTAATTGATCAAATATAATAAATATTTATTTATTTGCATTTAAAGTCCTATACTGGAAAATATTCTTAATGAAAAGTTATAAAAAAATTTCACTAAGGCTATATTATATCCGCAGCAAAAAAAAAAAGGAAAAATGGGGCCCTTATAAGATTGCTCTGTTGTCTCTCTATCTGACACAGCCGGTATTCTCCTAAACTACTAGACCTATTGTACACATATCGTGGACTTCAAACCCTAGGGGCGTATAAGTAACACTCTTTCTTACTTTTCATTAGACATATAAATAAACATGATTATCGATCATATATCGAAAAGTGTTTCTCATATATCTTTAAAAGTAGTTTGCCTCTTATTAAAAAAAAATAGGTTTTATTAATTAATAAAATTAGAAAAGATAGGAATTACAAAAATATTACTCATTTTGGCGTATATGCCCTCTGGCTTGAAGCCTGCGATATAAATAGCAAGAAGGTACAACTAATGTGGCTCATTGATATACCTATGCAGAAAAAAGAAACGCGGCAAATATTGGTCAATGACTTGACCTAATATTTGAATAAAATTTATTTATTTATTTAGTTACTAGTTCCTGACTTACATACTACTTGTATTCATCCAACACACCAGCAACTTAAATATAGCAAACAAAAAAAAACGATATCTGTTTAGTTAATTTTAAATGCCAATTAAAAGGTATATCAATATCACAGTAATAACTAAAGGATGGAATAGTAGGTATGTCATAAAAATTATAAACGAAAATAAATGTTATATAAATTAAAATATATTGTCAAGAAGATAATAATAATAAATAAGTTAATACTAGTTAGGAAATTTCGAGCAATTATAGCTAATCTAGGTACAGTCAGAAAATATGTCATTTTTTTATGTTGAGCAAGGTGTCACCAATGAGATATAGTGCACGAATAGTAGGTGCCTGCGCGGTGTATACGCAGAACTTGCCATGCTACGCATATAAGAAATAGACGGTTTAAAATTGATATATTTGTGCTAAACTTATGGCTATCTATTTTTTTTTATGTAGACTCTTTCTACATCCATCTTAATGCCAAATCCTTTGCAAGGAAGACAAAGAGACCCGAATTCTATAAATTAAAATAAATATATTTCTTTACAGAGTAACTTTATAAATTCATATTTTTACCCGACTGCGCAACGCAAAGGAGGGTAATGTGTTTATTTGATGCAATGAATGCCCATAAGTATACGATATGTATTTATTTATTTCAAAAATGAAATTAACAGCAATTTCTTATCTTAATAATAGTAACATAATTTTAAAATGTCTTCTCACTTTCATCTTAGTTAATTGATCATGTAAAGGGCCAGCGTCCATTCTTAACTATCCATGAAGAAGATCTGAGCGTAAAAGGACTGATGAAGATGATTTAGTTTACATTTGATCTTTCAACTTTTTACTTTGTATTGAAATTTTAAAAATTTGTATTTACAGACACATTTTACTATTCGATTTATTTATTCACTTGACATTAGCAGACTTGTGCGAAATGCGCAGATAAGCCATCAATAAAAAAGAACAAGAAGATATTTTTGATGAAATATGTCAGTTATACATGCCTAAGCTTAATTTATTAAATTGCACATAGGAGAATATAGGTTAGCTTACATGAAAAAGGTGTATTTTTTTGTTTAAATTAGATAAATTTCTATTTACAAATAAACACAATATAATAAATCAAAAAGTCATTTAAGAATAATTTTATACTGATGTAGTTGTCGTTGAATGATTTATATTTTATCATAAATTCTTGAAATTCGTTCCTACATACTGCATTTGCACGTTTAACGTATTATAATTGGCCATTAAATAAATCTCGCAATTATAGTTGCCGCTTCCTTTCATACAATACTACGGTATTTCTTTAAATTCCAGTGTATCACAATAGCAGAGCGAGTATAACTCGAATTACTCTCGGAGTATCCACCTGTGTACTGGCATGTGGAAATGTGGAAACGCGTTTTTTATAATTCAACATAATTACCGTACCGGCGGGCGTGATCATGAACTTTCAAAAGGACCGCCTTCATTGCACGGTCCCGAACTAAATAATGAGGTATTAATGAAGAACACTTTCGAATATACATTGATATATATCATCGACTGAATGTTCGTCGAAAGTAAGATTGATCTATATAATTTAGCTCATCACAATTCAATGTTATCGAATCAGAGTAGATATCTATAAATATTGCCGGTACTATGAATATTTTTAAGAGACAATGAAAATAAAAATATTAAAATTATAAATTAATGGCCGAAATATATGTACTGTTCGTATATGAATACCATCTTGACCAAAATATCATGTAATCGTAGCATAGCTCTCCCTGCATCGCAGTAATGAGATACTATTTATATTTACTTATGATGAAAAACAATTAAAATAATTATGATTTGCCTTCTCACAAACCCACTGTTTTAGAAAGCCTGAACAGTAAACTGCCAAATACGAGTAAAATATTTTTTAAATATTACTGCTGCTTTACCACGTAACTGAAACCCGGGACAGTCAGTTCTGGACCAATCCTGATTAGTCTGCCTGATCTGTCCAATCATAGACAAATACAGACTAAGCTGAAATAGACTATATGCCTATGAGATCATACAGGACTTCATTTTGACATATCGATCAGGGCTTAAGTTACGTCTTTTTCTTATTAGTTGTTTTTGAGAACTAATATTCATCCATTCGTATCTACTATAGTCGAGAGAAGTAACTACTTGAAAAAACTAAAGCAAATATTTTTAACTAGAGATGCGCCGTATTCGGTATTCGGCGTATTCGGCATCTTTTTTACTATTCGCATTATATATTATAATATTTACAATTAATTAATAGTAAATTATGGTGAAGCCCTCAGCTTTCTCCGGCAAGAGAGTGCTACGTACATTTTTAACCGACTTAAAATTGAAAAGGATGATGTTATATATTTGAAAGTGATGTATTTTTTTTGTGTTCACCGATTTTTCCATGAACTGTTTACCTTAATACATTGCAGGTAGAGTTCAAAATAGAGAATTTTACATATTGTATAGCTGTATCACTCCTTCGGCTTATCTAAATCAAACTAAAAAACTTAATTTTAATTAGGGTATTTTAACGTCTTTCTGTTGTCACATGTATCTAATCTAAGATATTTAATTATACTTCTCTTAGTTTATGTTTATCTGTGGTAGTATTCAGAATTGAAAACAGAAGTGCAACGGGATTTAAAACGTATGGACCAACAAACTTAATACCATAAATAAATTACTACAATAAGTATATCTCATTAATTACTGTCAAACCTTTTTTATTGTTACATAATTTATACACACAATATAAACAAATGTTAATATAATTTATTACTTTTTACAGACATCTTTCAAATAACCCCAGTGTTTTATACAATATTCATAATTTTTATAACAGTGTTACATTATCAGGTATTGTTATTATTTCGTCTTCATAAGCCCTTTGAGCCTCTTGGCTGATTAATAGTTCCTTCTCCAACTTCAAGGTTTCACTTCTTACCAACACGATGACATATATTTGCATCACTATAATCAATAAAAGACAGTTAATAAATCTGTGTTGAATATAAGTTAAAATACCATCCTGAAAATTGAAATTATTTCAAACAGTCCAAAGAATTTTCCCGGAAAATTATAGATATCTTATTTTATATTAAGAAGCTCTATGGTACAACGGTAAATGCATTCAATCTGCGATATAGAGAGTATGACAACGTTTGCATGGGCCTGTCATTGGATGGGTGACCAAAATTTTATTATTCATGCTTCGGAAGCCACGTTTAGCCATTGGTATTGGTTATATATGTAGTCGTTTAACACCCATCAATTCGCATCAGGCGCGCGTACTGGGGTGGATGATGACCCATTCTCCATATTTCATTATATCCATAGGAAAAACGTGCCTCTGTAGTGGAGTAATATATTTTGATTAAACTAATATTCCGAATTCCACATAGACGTATGCGTACATGATACAAAGAATAAATTAACTAGCACACCGTCCTATATTTGAAACGTATGAAAGAATCTATTTCTTGATATATTTATTATACATATTTTTTTAATAAATACTCTCTTGCTATTCTGACGACGCTTTACACAGCTATTTTGTATTTAAACCATTTTTAAACAGATTCATGTTTGTTCATACTAAGTGAAACTTTTTAACAAATAATATCATGCAATTTGTACCTTCCTATATAGTACGTATGAACATAACCCTATGCGATGGACGGACCAAATTCGCCATAATACAGATTCGAGCGTCAACGAAGTCATCGGTCATCGGACGATCGGAGAAGATGGTGTTACCAGGCCCGTGATTAATTAATAATAGCGATCACGACTCTCAGTAGTGAAGTAAAGGATGCAAGGAGAAGGACTACTTACCAATAGCAACAAATGCGGCATAAACGTCTGTATACTGCTTTCTGTACAGCAATATAAATAAGGGAACCAGAGCGGCCAAACACGTCAGTACCGCATAATAATTGTACAATCTTAACATGGATATGTCTTTCTGAAACGTAAACTTTTTTCAAAGAAACAACGAACATCTACGTAAATAACCTGTAAATTATATTTTATATTTAGTAATTACGAAAAACAAAATGGTCGACAAGTAAACAAATATATAAATAACGGTATACGATAACATCTATAATCACGGAGGTTCGAATTATGTTATCCATGTTTGCACCTCTTTTTTTCTTTTTCTTTGTTATCATTACATTGAATTTATTTTTATATTCCAAATATGTACAAACATTGAAGTCAATAAACAATTACAATATTAACCTAATAAAGGCCTAGAATTGTTTACAACGAACTTTCTTTACTGAGATTTAATAACTTTTTGATTATATGAATTTTAAACGAGTATGAATAAGTTAACGAATTAATTCTTTGTTTTGCTATTAAATATGTTGCTTGGCAGAGATTGCTGCCTTGGTAATTAGGTAGCAATCGTTACTAATCAGTTTCCAGTGACAATGAAATATAAGTATATAAGCAGCAGCTATCAACGTTACTTAGAGACAAACCTGACATCCGCCAACTAATAGCACGAAATTCAAAATAACTCCAAGGCCCAGTATGCTAAAGAGTACAGTCGACGTCACATCTTCCAGCGATGAGCCATTCGTTAAAGACACTCTCCGAAGCTCAGTGGTGAACACTAAGGAAGCTATAGCCAGCAAGGAAAATATCTGTAACAAGAGTTAATTTTAAATTTTAATATCAATTAATTGTGTGTGATCTGTGCAACAATTCTATACAAACAAATATGTAGTATTCCATAAAAATCAACATTTTATTTTTCCTTATGATCTTTAAAATGGATCCTTATGATCTGATCACTCGATTTTCACCTGTCTGTCTGTCCAGCCATCTGTCTATAGAAAGAGAATGATCAAAACACTAGTTTCTGGCATTTCTAATTGCATTTCAAATCTAAAGGGGCAATTGACGTTGCCCTTCCAGATTTTGCGAGAAACCATAAAAACAAAAAGATGAAGAAAAATATTCGCTCTAAAATTACTGGACTCATTCAGTTGAAATTCGGAAAATGTACATATATGTCACTAACGCAAAGTGGAAAGTGTAACCCAAATTAATGAATTTGAAACATGCAGGGAAAATACGATATATAAAAATCATGCACATTAAATCGAGTGACTTATCAAAGGAAAAAACCAAGAAATTCCTTGAAAATAGACCGACAATATAACTCAATGCACAAATAATAATTTCTCCACAAATAATAAATTTGGTCAGACGAAGTCAAACTTACAATGTTAATGATTCCAAACAATATGATTCCATATCGTAAAGGGAAACAGAAACAGCATTTCCGTACCTCTGGCACATTTACACGCATTTTAATATTTCGAATCACAAAATATGTTAACAACACTTACTGTTCAAAGAATAAAACGAATGATTAAACAATAATAAATAAAAGGTAAGACAACCAATTGGTAAACAGAGATAAGTAATAATACATTCCTGGAGAAGCTAAGTAAATAACCGATCTACGTCAATGTCATGAGTTCGTTCATCCCATTTAAATAATTTATGAACCATATTGTAACCATCGCATAACTATTACGTTACTTATAGCAAGCATAATAAAAACACTTTTATATTTGCAACCTACTCTATAATTTTACATTTTCGAGACTGTTGCTATATGTGATGAATTAATTTCAAACATATAGAGTTGTCCATTTTGGTGGTTTACATGTTTTCTTGGTGATACTGTTATCCCTAGGTAACCATTTTGTAGGATAAAATGTAGAATTATCTATTTATTTTCCGTTCAATACTTAGTTTTTGCGTGTAAGAGCAACAAACATACATACATCCATTCTCACAAATTTTCGCATTTTTACTATTAGTAGGATCCTATATCAAAAGGCTCCAAAATATCGTCATCTTTTCGGTAGGTACTAACTTCTATTCCTGACTTGTCCGCATATTCGTAATTACGGCTAATCTCTTCTAATGAATCCAATTTTATTGTTATAAAATAGACCTGTTGTCTTCAATCCAATTTTATTAGACTCTATCTGAACAGATTTTCATTTAATTAAGCCGTTCCAGGGTGTTTATAATAAAACTAGCTATTCCCGCGGCTTCCGCTTAAATTATAACCTATATCATCTACACATATTGTAGCTACCCGTATGTGAAAGAATTTTTAAAATCGGTCAAGTAATTTCGGAACCTATTCAAAGCAAGCAAATCTTTCCTCTTCATAATATTTGTATAGAAGTATAGACAAGCAATCCACAATTTAATAACATACTAAACAAACCTAAAGTCAAAGAACTACATTGGAAATTGCTACTTTACAAACTAATCATTTCTCATTGGCCCATTATTGCATAATTGCGCCACCCACGAGATCGGCGACCCTCAGCAAATAGTCGATTATCCAAGCTTTGTTTGTTTATTTTTCGTTCAATTACCGTCTGTGTCTCGGCAACATAAGTTAACTATTTATTGACTCGGCTAATAGAGGTATATTGTAGTAATATGATCTTAATATAGGTACTGTTAGGACCTCTAAGATATGACAGAATCGAGATTTGGGTGTAAGATAAAAAAATACGGCTTGATAGGTATCTTTACTGAAGGCGAGCTGGGAAAGCTTGGAAAAACACCATATTTACAGATGAAAACAAATTACAATCCAATAATAATAGGAATTAATCTTCTAGCTATCCTGTAACCACGGCAATTGGCAGAAAATTAAAGAAGAAATATGGGACCTGAATATTTTGGACAGTGTCGATTTTCATTAGCGTTAACAACATCTTTCGACAGAATTTCGCTTCATCAAAGGACATAGTAATAGCTTATGATCGACTTTCCTGTATTTTTGAAGTTCCTCTGTAAACATAGGAATAGCGTATTCACCAGACCTAAACCTGACTGTTTGACTTATTTTCTTAGAAGCGCAAGCAGAAATGTATACATGCTGTAGATTCACTTGCCCGCACATTTAATGTGATAAAAATATCTTAAAAAAAGGAAAATCATTGAATATTTTTGAGAAAATTTAAGGCTAAATGCTGTTCATTTGAAAATAGGTAATTAAGTTTACTTATTTTCTGGATTTTACTATTTAGAAACACAGCATATTTTTTTCATAAATTTATTTATATATAACAGAAGTCAATTATTAAAGCAAATCTAAGATATTTGATTAAGTATATTACCTACAAAATTAAGTAAAAATAAAGCCAAATTGAAAATTTCTCATGCGGCAATAACATAGCCAACAATATATGCAAACAAATTTCAAAAACTTATTAATTACTTTAAAAAAATGAACTCGAAACAAAACGAGAGCTGTTTTTAAAACTAGCCACTTGTAATCAATTTATTAAAATGAGAATTTTCAATAAGTCAGTTAAAAGTTACCTATGTACGTAAGCGCGATTTTGCAAGTGGATGACCCAATATTTGTCATTATTTATAAACAAAAAGCCTTCTTGTGAGGAGCTCGATGGCGTGATGTAGTATCTTCTTCTTAGTGATGGCTTAAGGATCTATGTACAGCCTTCATTCATTTCATTTTCATTTTACAATTCGAAATCAATTTATTCACTTGACATTGGCAGAATTGTGCGAAACGCACAGCTAAGCCATTATTAAAATTGCTATTCTAGTATTAGTCCAAATTTATATTATACTGAGAATAAGCAAACCTACTACATTCTAGGAGTTATTAAATAAATGATAAAGCTCGGATTGGAAGTATAAATTACGAGTATAATAGCAAAACATAAAGACAGATACAAACAGGAATGACAGACACGTCAAGTAGGCACAAAACACACAAAACACTAAAGAGATCGAAAAACTACCAAGAAGTCTTCACTTCTTAACATCCCGTCTCGTTTTTCAAACCTATTTGATAACAAAGTTCTTTCAGTCTTGGCTTGAAAAGTGGTTTCGTCAGGAAATCCGCAAGCTGCTCATTTGCTTTTACTTTCAGCACCTTGAGGTTTCTCCGTGTCACGCACTCCCGAATGAAGAAATGCCGCAAACGAATGTGTTTAGTCCTCTGGTGACATTCGAAAGGTGGGTCGTGGGCCAAGCGGATAGCTGACTCGTTATCAAGATAAAGTTCTGATGAGACTTCTCCAGCTACCATGAACTTCATAATCTTTTTCAACGTTAGGTATCAGTTCTCTAGCCGCTTCACTGGCAACAACTATCTCTGCCTCTATGGAGGAAATCGCGACCGTCTTCCGTCTTTTGCTCTGCCAAGCTATGGCCCCTTTCGAATAAAGGCATCGCCCGCTTCTGCTGTGAGCGCACGCATACACGTTAAACTATTTCAATCCAGGGTTGATTAACTTAAGTTGAATAATGTTTACGAGTCAGTGTAGTAGGTGTAATCTTTCGGTGGGAAGTGGTCCGGAATGTGCCATGTGTAAACTAAAGTTTCATTATGGCTGTGTTGGCGTATCTGAACGTGTTTATAATCGCCTTGGTATTAAAAAGGCGTCATGGAAATGTCAATCCTGTCGTGATGGAGTAGAAGAGCCATTACCAAAGGCATCTGGTACTCAGCCGACCTCAACTGTAACTCCAAATCCGATACCTTCTGATTCTCAGTCGACCTCAACTGTAACTCCTAAGCCGATATCTTCTGATGCTCCGTTAGAGAATAACATGCAAGATGAGGATAGTAAGAAAACTTTGGCTCAAATATTAAGTAAAATGATAGACATCCAGGCGCAACTTTCTCAGGTCTCGAATATAAAGAACGACCTTGAACAAATAAGAAACGACATCGTAGACCTAAAAACTTCTATGAGTGGAAAAATAGATAATTTATATAGCAGGGTTGATGTGTTGGAGAGTCGTGTAAGTGGAGTGGAGTCATTTAGTGAGAAGGTAACAGACTTCGAAACGAAAATTAATAATATTATACTTGAAAACCAAAAAAGAGATCAATGGGTACGTAGATCAAATATTGAGATAATAGGTGTTCCGGAAAAACAAGGCGAAAACCTCATTGATATCACCAAGAAACTAGCTGCCGCTTGTAATTTCCCCTTAAATCAGACGGACATAGACTTTGCTACTAGAATTGCGACGACCAGAGATATAAAAAACCAAAAACCAAGACCAATAATAATAAAATTGCAAGCTCGATATAGAAAGGATGACTTTCTAACATTATTGCGGAAAAAAACCCTAATTGCTAACGATATAGGGTATGAGGGAAATCAAGGAAAGATTTATACAAACGATCACTTATCTACATTCAATAAGTATCTATTGAAACAAACAAAACATAAATGCAGGGAATTTAATTATGAATTTTGCTGGGTGCGCAACTGCACTATTAGAGTTCGTAAATCTCCCACGTCACCGGTTTTCATCATTTCAACGGAAGAGGATTTACACAAAATAAAATAGGTATTAGCCAGCAATATATTATAATACCATATTTAACTTTCATGAGCTTGTTTTTTCTATGCAAAAAGTCTGGATACGATGCGGGCCTCAAGTTGATGAACCCTGAAACAACTTTTGCACGTCAACCGGATGCATCACTGACTTGCTTCTGTGTTGTGAATCGCTTAGTATTGAGGAAGGACTGCATTGATGCTTTGTATGGCGACTGTCTCACGTTGTTACCGTTAAAGTACGTAATCTATACAATACAGAGCAAGTTTGGATATCTTGTTCTTGTGGCAGCGATACTGCATATTTATCTACTTTTCATTATTCTATTACCTACAAAAACGAATATTAATATTTTGCAACGCAAACTATTGCTTCCAATGCGTATAGGCTATCTTGTTTTTTCGAAATGTTATGCTTTATGGTTGTTTTTACGAGAATACATTTTCGTCAAACAATTAACATTGCTTTTGTACGAATAGATTTTTTGTTTTTATTGAGAAGATACTCGGGTCGAGGTGTGTACACGCAACGTGTGTTATTGAATATGTTTGATTACCTGAACTTTTTTATAGTTATCTTGCTTTATTTTTGTCAAATAAATTGTGATCTATTGTTAAAAATACCTTTTTTTTTTTTTTTTTTTGACGCTGAGAAATGCATTCCGCATACCCGTTTCACCCTGCGCGAGCTCCACGGGTTATGTGGGACTCTCCCCTGCGGACCAACCCCAGAATGGGGCTGGTCAAAGAGCAGGGGCCTACCCACTAAAACTCAGCGATGTCCCTCACGCGCCAGTAGGGCACGGCATGGGTCCCATACGGGACCATATTCCGCGCACCTACCTACGCACGACCCACCCCTTTGACAGGGCGGGTCCCGTCTCGGGTTAGGGAAGGGCTCAGGAACATTCGAGTCCAACCCCAGACAGGACAAGGAGCGTGCAATGCCTGGCGAGCGCGCTAACCCGCCAGACTTGCCCCCTGTCAAAGGCAAGAGATGCGCAATTGAGCATCTCCTACCCTAGCCCGTCTAAGAGAGGGAATTCACACGGGCTGAACCCTCGTGAATCCCTCACCCCGATAGCCCCGGATACCAATGTCCAGCCCAGCGTGCACCAAACCAGTCACCGGTATCCCGTTCCTTAGTCGCGCTCTGATAGTGGCCCCGCCGAGGCCCGATCACTCCACACACCGAATGGTGTGTGGGGCAGTCCGGTCCCGACGGCCTTTGTTAAAAATACCTAATGCAAATAGTATAACCTTTTTAAAATTAATCGTAACATTAATTGTATCTCAATATGGGTTCGTATTGAACTTTATATACACTAATGGCTACTTGATTAGAATTATCAGTTATTATATATATCCTAAAAAGGCCTTAACTTAAATTATAATAATATATACTATCAGAACGTTCGCGGGTTGCGAACTAAAACCCACACTTTTTTTCATAATCTTTTATTATC